AAGGAGATATGAAAAGAGGCCTTTTCTCAGTTCACCACAAACCAGTAATGATCCCATGCTCCAAGTAATGTAATGAGGAAGTAGGGCTAAGGGTGAGAAGCAAAAGAGGAAAGAGGCACTAAAAAGGATTTGAATTTTGAGATTCAAATTTCCCAATGCCTCCATTTTAGATTTTCTTATCAACTCAACAAAGACATAGCTGGAGCTGCTGAGAAGGGTGAGTGGGCAGTGTCAACCTCAGTGTTTCATGGTCTTCTTGCCAACAATTATGCATGGAACCCATCAAAGGAAATGCCATTGTTATGCCATTATGGCCATCTTCCTTAATAACCTTCTTGATTTTTTTTTTTTCTGGCTTGAACTCAGGACTTGGCTGGGTGTGTGTTAGCATTTTTGCTCAAGGCTAGTGCTCTACTACTCTGTTACCTTCACTTTTGGCTTTTTGCTGGTTAACTGGAGATAAGAGCCTCTCAAATTTGTCTGCTTGGGGCTGGCTTTGAACCATGTTCCTCAGTACTCAGCCTGGTGAATAGCTAGGATTATAGGGCATGAGCCACCAGTGAGTGCCCAGTTGCTTGAAGAGGAAAGAAGGATGGCCTATAGACACATGAAGAAATGCCTCAACCTCCCTAGCCATAAAAGAAATGCAAATCAAAACAACATTGAGATACCACCTCACCCAGTGAGAATGGCTGGAATCAACAACTCTAATAACAACAGATGCTGGAAGAGATGTGGACAGAAGGGGAACCCTACTGCATTGTTGGTGGAAGTTGTAAACTTGTTCAACCACTTTGGAAAGCAGTATGGAGGTTCCTCAGAAGACTCCACATAGAGCTCCCCTATGACCCAGCAATCCTACTTTTGGGCATTTACCCAAATGATCACAAACAAGACCATACTAAAACCACCAGCATAACTATGTTTATTGCTGCATTATTTACCATAGCTAAGATATGGAACCAACCCAGATGCCCTCAGTAGATGAATGGATCAAGAAAATGTGGTAGGGGCTAGGAAGGTGGCTCAGTGGTAGAGTGCTTGCCTTGCATGCATGAGGCCCTGGGTTCGATTCCTCAGCACCACATAAGCAAAAAGAAAAAAGCCGGAAGTGGCGCTGTGGCTCAAGTGGTAGAGCGCTAGCCTTGAGTTGAAGAGCTGAGGGACAGCGCCCAGGCCCAGAGTTCAGGCCCCATGACCGGACCCAAAAAAAAAAAAGAAAAGAAAAAGAAAATGTGGTATATATACACAATGGAATTCTATGCCTCCATCAGAAAGAATGACATTGCCCCATTTGTTAGGAAATGGAAAGACTTGGAAAAAATTAAATAAAGGTGAAGTAAGCCAGGCCCAAAGAAACATAGGTCCCATGATTTACCCTTATTTGCAATAACTAGTATATGTCTGAGACAAAGCAGAAACGGTCAGATAAGTTGATTGTTAGGTGAAATGAACCCCAAGTTAAGGACTCAAATGGTTTTTTCTATCTTGCTATTGTTTCTAACATATTTATAAGATTATTTCTTTGTTGTTTTTTATGTCCCTCCCCCACGGTATAACCCCTGTTTTCACTGTATTTGATGTTGGTATAATTTGTGGAGGGGAAGGAAAAAAAACAAATTGTTTAAATAGGGATACAGATGGACCCATTGCAACAATGAGATGTACAAGATGCTATGTCGAAAATGAACTTTACAACTTTGGCGCAGGGTGGGGGGTGTAGGGGGAGAGGGGAAGGAAGGGATGGAAGGGGAAACAAAGGAGGAGGCAACAATGCTTGATAAGAAATGTACTCATTACCTTGCACATGTAATTGTAACTCCTCTGTATGGTATTTTCACATTTAAAAAAAATCAAAACTTTGCTGGCCCCTATGGTGGTGCATGGTTATAAGTCCAGCATTTCAGAGGCTAAGGAAGGATTGTGAGTTTGAGGCCAGCCTGAGCTATATAACAAGATCTTTCCTCAAAATAAAATAGATAAATAATAAACCTTTGCTGTAGTTCACAAGCAGGATCTGCCAAGCCAGAATTGACAAGCAAATACAGGCTCCCTAGTAAATCTGAAAGATGGCGCAGCCTGGATGCAGAAGATCAGAGAGGACTGCCCGATCAGAAACAAGTCCAAAACAGAAGGCACATAATAAAGGAGTCAGAGGGCTTCTCCATACAGGAGAACTAAGGAAGGTGTGATTTTTTCAAGCAGCTGCTGCTGGCTCATATGTGTAATCCTAGCGAATCAGGAGATCTGAGGATTCTTGTTTCAAGGCAGCCCGACAAGGAAAGTTCATGAGACTCTTCTGTCCCAATTAACCACCAAAAAGCTGGCAGTGGAGCTGTGGCTCAAGTGGTTGAGTGCTAACCTTGAACAAAAAAGTTCAGGGACAGCGCACAGTCCCTAGGTTCAAGCCCCAAGACTTACATGAGAGAAAGAAAGAGACATACAGAGACAGAGAAGAGAGGAGAGAGAGAGAGAGAGAGAGAGAGAGAGAGAGAGAGAAACAGGCCATTTTCCATAGCTACTAATTTTGACCTCTCTCCAGTATTGTGATTGTTTCCCTGTCTCATGGCTAACAGGTACCCATCTAAATATAGCACATGAAACAACCCCTCCTTTCACCCTGTCACCTTATTTACCTCACCAGTTTAGTGAAGGCCTTTCTCCTGAGAGTGTCTGTTCTCTCAAGGGTAGAGACAGAAATTAGTGCCTTTCACAAATCACCAAGCAACATCACCTCTGTTGCCTCCTGGGCCAGAAGAGTGCAATAGTGCCTCAAAAAGTACCTTACAAGAAAGCCTGGGGGGCCACTAATGTCAACGTCCCTTTTTCAGACCATTGCTTTTAAGACTCGTGTTGAGAATGCAAGCTCAGGTTGCCAGCCGCGGTTATTGTAACTCAGCCTGGATTTGTTCGTGCACCCCAAAACTCAAACTGGCAGACAAGCATGTGTGATTGCTTCAGTGACTGCGGAGTCTGTAAGTATGGGGAAAGTGTCGCCCTAATTTATAGGTAGGCTGCTTATCAATATGCACATACTTTGCAGCAAAAGTTGACTATTTATAGGTACTTTGCATAGCAAGTAATATATGGTATTTTTTAACCAAAAAGGCTCGGTACTGATTGTAAATCAATTCTGCTCTGACCTATCAAAGAATAGTATTATACCTAAAATAAGAGCTGAGACTTAAGATAACAATGAAAGGGCTAATTGATTCTAATTACAAATAGATTGTAAATTAATGAAATATTTAGAGTTTAACTTGATTTTTTTTTTTTTTTTTTTGGTCAGTCAATGGGGCTTGAACTCTGGGGCCTGGGCACTGTCCCTGCGCTCTTTAGCTCAAGGCTAATGCTCTACCACTTTGAGCCACAGCGCTACTTCTGGTTTTCTGGTAGTTAATTGGAGATAAGAGTGTCATGGACTTCCTTGTCCAGGCTAGCTTTGAACTTCAGTCCTCAGAACTCAGCCTCCTGAGTAGCTAGAATTACAGATATTAGCCACCAGCACCTGGCTTAACTTTATTTTTATTTTTATTATATTTATTTGTTTTTTTGCCAGTCCTGGGTCTTGAACTCAGGCCTGGGCACTGTCCCTGAGCTTCTTTTGCTCGAGGCTAGCACTACAACTTGAGCAACAGCGCCACTTTGGGCCTTTTTTTTTTTTTTTTTAACGTTTTTCATTGTAAAAATACTGTACAGTACAGTTATATGAGGAAGGAAAGGTGTAGCACAGGCTGGTCTCAAACTTGTGATCCTTCTGCCTCATCTTTGTCGTTGATTTCTGGCATTCGCCACCACGGCCGGCTCACTTCAGGCTTTTTTATGTGGAATCAAACCCAGGGCTTCATGCTTGCTAGGCAAGCACTCTACCAATAAGCCACATTACCAGCCCTTAACTTGATTTTTAAAAGACTGGTTTTGTTGTATATAGGTTAAACAGTGTGTGTGTGTGTGTGTGTGTGTGTGTGTGTGTGTGATCTGTGTGCATGCTAGTCCTGGGGCTTGAACTCAGGGCTTGGTGGCTATCCCTTAGCTTTTTTGTTCAAGGCTGACACTCTTCTATTTGAGCCACAACTCCACTTCCAGTTTTTTACTGTTGATAAGATAAGAATCTCATGAACTTTCCATCCAGGGGCTGGCTTTAAACCTCAATCCACAGATTTCAGCCTCCTGAGTGAGTAGCTACATCTGTAAAGATGTAAGCCACTGGCATTCAAGAAACTTCATTTGCATTAGATTGGATATAGTACACGGAGGATAGTGTTTATCCCTAGTTTCTGCATGCTTGATAATGAAGAAGTTTAGGGGCTGGGAAGGTGGCTCAGTGGTAGAGCGCTTGCCTTGCATGCCTGAGGCCCTGGGTTCAATTCCTCAGCACCACATAAGCAAAAAGAAAAAGAAAAGCCGGAAGTGATGCTGTGGCTTAAGTGGTAGAGCGCTAGCCTTGAGCTGAAGAGCTGAGGGACAGCGCCCAGGCCCAGAGTTCAGACTCCCCCCACCCCCCCGCCAAAAAAAATGAAGAAGTTAAAGGTAATTAGCTTGTTGTTGGGAAAAATGTCTGTCTCTCTAATTTTTTCTTTTATAAGATCTTTTCTGATGGAGTGCTGGTGGCTCTCACCTGTAATCCTAGCTACTTAGGAGGCTGAGATCTGAGGATCACAATTCAAAGCCAGCCCATGCAGGAAAGTCTGTGCATCTCTATCTCCAATAAACTACCAGAAAACCAGAAGTAGCTCTGTGGCTCAAGTGATAAAGTACTAGCCTTGAGCTGAAGAGCGAAGGGACAGCACCCAGGCTCAGAGTTCAAACCTCATTACCGACTAAAAAAAGAATATCTTTCTGCTAAGCACTGGTGGCTCATACCTGTAATCCTAGCTACTCAGGAGGCTGAGATCTATGGATTGTAGTTTGAAGCCAGCCCAGACTTCAGTGGAAGGCATTGCTGGTACTGAGGAAAAAGTCTAGAAATGACAAGGTTTCAGTGAATCAATTCACTGAATCAGTGATTTCAGTGATTCAGTGAATGAATCAATGCATGAAGGCACTACTGTAGACAGAATGATCTCTTTCCAATATTCAGTCACTTCTAAACTGAGGGAAGAGCTGGTGCAAAGTCTGAAGATGTACTTGGCAACCATAATGTGCACTGTGAGTCACGGAAGTGAACAAACGTTCAGCCAGTGTAGGCAAAGGGGAGTAATTTGTACCCTTGCTTTTCATGTGTCCAGGTCTCTGTGGCACATTTTGCTTTATGTGCCTTGGATGTCAGGTTGCAGCTGACATGAATGAATGCTGTCTGTGTGGAACAACTGTGGCAATGAGGACTCTCTATCGAACCAGATATGGGATCCCTGTAAGTCTCTTACCGTCCCTTATTGTTTAAATACAATAATCCTAATCCTGTCAATCAAATAACTTTCTTTTGTGTGTGTGTGTGTGTGCCAGCCCTGGGGCTTGAATTCATGGCCTGGGCACTGTCGCTGAGCTTCTTTTGCTTAAGGTTATATCACTCTACCACCTCAGCCACAGCTCCACTTCTGGCTTTTTCTGTGTGTATGTGATACTGAGGAATCACACCCAGAGCTTCATGCATGGTAGGCAAACACTCTACCACTGAGCCACCTTCTCAGCCTCAAATAGCTTTCAAATATAAAGAATAATTGTAGAGAAGTAGGCCACTGAATGGAACCCATTGTGTGAATTTGCCTGGAGAGCCTAGGACTAGCAATCCTGTGTTCAGTTATAGCTGCAGATTCTCCAGTTATATAAAACCTTCCAGGTTTCTGCTGAAGATAATTGAAAATAAGTAACTCTCATATTTGCAATGTCTAAGATACAAATTGCAGGAGGTTATTTAGAATTTACCATGAGCCAGACACTGATGGCCCACACCTGTAATCCTATCAATTCACAAGGCTGAGCTCTGAGGTCCATGGTACAAAGTAGCTAGGCAGAAAAGTCCATGAGACTCTTATCTCCAATGAACAAGCAAAAAGCGAGAGGTGCTTAGGCAATAGAGTCTGCATACTATTCAGTTGTCCATGCAGTGCCTTCCACTACACCTACTTCGCTTTATTTAATGAAGAATGTTAGTCAGGAGTCTATAGAGGAATGACCAACAGAATGAGTGTGTGTACATATGTGTATGCATACATACACATTTATTTATGTATCATATAGAAATTATATAGATATGTAGAAATATATTGATATAGAGAGGAGAGAATATATATAATATGTAGTCTGCCATATGTATAATATGCTTCAGATATAATATGTAGCTGGAAGTGGAGCTCTGTCTTAAGTGGTAGAGCATCAGCCTTAAGTGAAAAAGCCAAGTGAAAGCATAAAGCCCTGAGTTCAAACTCCAGTACTAGCACCAATTGTATATACATACAGACATATATTTCTATAGAAATACACAGATATGTGTATAGAAATAGAGAGAGATACTTATGTCTCTACATGTGTGTACATATTTATGCCTCTCTTTATTAGAGAGAGAGGGAGATGGAAAGAGAGGAAGGGAAGGAGAAGGAAAGAAGGAAGAAGAGGGAAAAAGAGGAGAGAAAGAGGAAGAGGTATTTTAAGGAATTGGGTTGATGTAGTTATGGAGGCTAGCCAATAGGTTGGAGATCCAGGAAGAAATTACAGCTCAAATCTAGAGCATCTTTTTCAGGGTGTGTTTTCCTATGAATCAAATCAGAGTTGTGCTAGGTGCTGGCATGTGTGTGTCACAACTGTTAATCCTAGTTACTTTAGAATCTGACATCTGAAGATTGAGGTTCAAAGCTAGCCCATGCAGTAAATTCCATATACCTCTTATCTCCGATTTATCACCTGAAGACCATAAGTAGAGTTCTGGCTCAAGTGATAGCATACCAGCCTGTGAATGAAAAAGCTAAGTCCAGGCCCTGAGTTCAAGCCCCGATATCACTACATGTAAGCACGCAGAAGCACACACATCCACACACACGCACAATCACGTCTGTATTGCTACTTCTTGACTTCTCAGTTTGGGACATTATCTACTGACTTTCCACTGTAGAAAATAAAATTTTAATGTTTCCTTCTCATTCCCCATGATACATAGACTCCCTCTCCTACCCCACCCCATCCCCATAGAGTTCTATCTACTTTAGTTAATTCCATATCTGATACCTATATTATGAGCCATATCTGATATTTATATTACGATCCTTATACATGCTTTATCAACTTCAGATCCAACTCATGTGGTGAATATGATTACTTTTCCTAAATTTTATTTCTCCTGTGATTTGAAACAGTTTTTTTTTTTTCAGTAGTAGTTTAACCCCAAATTCTTTGTTGTCTTTCTAAATCTCTTTCCACATATTCAACACAGGAAGTCCACACGGGAAGGCTCCTGTCTTGTTCGGGATGAAATTTCTCTGAACTGCTTTGAAATAGAAGCTTCTGGAGAAAGGGTGGGGACAGCTTTGAGAGTCTAGCCCCTGACACTCTTTACGCTACCATCATACCTGATAGCTTGCTTGGATATACTCTTATATTCTCAGAATGACAAAAGTCTAAGAAAACATTTTATGTCCTAAAAGAGTTAACAGTTATTTGGAAAAAAAATCAATTAATGTTTTTCCTGAATATATCTATCCACAGTGAGGCCAAAGACACAGTGCCTTTGGATGCATAAAAATCCACCAGTGTTAATTCCACATAGGTGTATTTTACTTTGTGTGTTGGGGAAGGGAGGAGCGCTAGGGTCACACCTAGACCTTCCACATGCTAGGCAAGCACTCTTATCACTGAGCTACATCCACAGCCTTGTTTTTCTTTTTCTTTTGTACCATTGTTTGTTTTTGTGTTTTGGAGACAGTATCTCCCTATATAGTTTATGCTGGCCTTGAACTTGCTATGTTGCCCAGGCTGACATCAAACTTCAGATTATCTTGTCTCAGGCTCTTGACGGCTTGGGGATTATGGGCATGAACCACTATGCCCTGCTGTTTAAATGTTGTATTGAAATACAATTGTACTTTCCATTCACATTTCTTTCATAACTTCAAATAGGGGTCCATTTGCGATGACTACATGGCAACCCTTTGCTGTCCGGTTTGTTCTCTTTGCCAAATAAAGAGAGATATCAACAGAAGGAGGGCAATGAACGCCTTCTAAAAAAGATTCATGGTGAGTCCGAGCAAACTTTTATCCTCCAGGAGTCTGGGGAGTTTGGGAACTAGGGGCTTTGTAAACTATTTATTATTTGGAATAATAGTTCAGTAATAGAAAATTCTCTAAATCTCCTAAAGTGCTATCTTAAGAAAAGATTGATTCTGATTTCTTCTTATGAAGAACATAGCTCTGTATTGTCAGCCATATTTTCACAAATAAATGGGTAGTGAATCTGGTATATTTTTGAAACTTCTCATAATTGCATTAGTCTATTAATGAAGAACTTACAAAACACTCTTCTGTACATCACCTTAAAAATTAAAAAAAAAATAATAAAAAAAGACACATCTGTAATCCTAGCTACTCAGGAGGCTGAGATCTGAGGATCACAGATTGAAGCCAACAGGGAGAAATTCATCTCCAATTAAGTAGCAAAAAGCTGGAAGTGGAGCTGTGGAAGTGGTGGTGGAAATGCTAGAGCACCAGCCTTGAGAGAAAAATCCAAGTGAGAGCCATAAGGCCCTGAGTTCAAACCTCAGTACTAGCACCAAAAAATGAAAACAAAAAAGTCCTCTGCAGCCATACTGAATAATTGATATATATATATATATATGAGAGTATAAACTGACTAAAATAAAATGAAAAAGTAATTGAATAAAAGTTGAAATTTGGAAAAACTCTGTGTATGAAATTTGGAATTTTGAGTGCAAAGAAATAGCAGGATTATGGTACAATCTCTCATACAGAACTCCAAATGTTTAAGCAGACACCCTTTCTTTGTAAGAAGTCCAGTCTAACCTGAGTAAAGCATCAGACAAACCTAAACTGAGGCACAGTCTACAAATTTTTTGTCTGTTTTCCTCAAAACTGTCATGGTCAGCAAAAAAAAGAAAATGTTTGAGGGCTGTTTAGATAACATGAAGGAAATATGACAAATATTATATGGTATCTAGGAACAGAAAAACGACTTCTAGTAAAATGTGAGGAATCTGGTTAAAGTATGGGTTGATTAATAACATAAATGCTTATCTCCAACTATCCACCAGAAAAACTGGAAGTGGAGCTGTGGCTCAAGCAGTAGACTGCTAGCCTTGAACAAAAAAAGCTCAGGGACAGTACCTAGGCTCTGATTCAAGCCCCAGGACTGAGACAAAATAAACAAATTTAATATTTTATTAAAGACCAAGACAGATAAAGGCACAGTCCCAACATGCCTCTTTATATTTATATAAAATAATGTATATATGCATAGATAAAAAAACAGACTGATTAAAGTTCAAAGCTATTCTTTGTGTCATTACAGATGAAGAGCTTTTATCGAAGAAATTAAAACCAGAAACCATCTCTTCAACCTGAGGGATTTGACTTCTCCATCTTTTCCCTGAAGTGGGATGGATATATTTCATATGATGGTATTTTAAAAAGTAAAAAATTTTCAAGTGGATGTTGCCCCCTTAGCTCTCTGCTGAGATCCCTTGGCCCATATTATCAAATTTTCTAGTTTCTAATTCCTTGTATTAAACTATGAGCCAAATAAAAGACTTTACTAATAAAACTGTTTTTCATTTTTGCTTTGTCAGCTCCATCCCTGGGAGTTTGCAGAAAATTAGCTATCAAAATGGGTGGCACTTCCTTGATCATATCATATCAAAAAACTCCACCTGGTTTGTTAAGAGTTTCAGGAAACTTTCCTTGATCACATCATATCAAAATAACTCCATCTGTTTGAACTCAGGGTCTTGATAGGCCAGCATTCTACCAGTTGAGCCATCCCCTGAGAGCTCTCATTTCTTTTCTTGTGTGAATTGTAATGTGATTTTGACCAGTCACTCAAAGTTCACCTTCTCTTGGTTCATAGGAGCCACTGGCAGAGAGATAGGTTTGTTTTGTGTTAATGAAATATTAGCCTGCAGTGAAGTTGAAGACCAGCTCATGCTTCCTGGCTACCACAGGGTGGGGAGACGGGAGTAGCAAAAACTGCAAGAGCAAAGACGGATCTGAGGGTGCCACAGAAGACAGCCAGTATTGCAAGCAATTACCTAAGTGGATGAGGGGATCAGGGATCAGACTACCTTAGCTCCAAGTCTAACACTGTAACCAGGAACTAGAAATAAGCTCTGTGGAAAGCCAGTGTTGTCATCTATCCCTCCATTACTCCAAGTCCCTAGAGGGTGAGAATCAAGCCAAGAATTCCTCTATGGTGCCATCTCCACCCCCTCCCAGCAGAATGATCATAGTGGTCATGTGTGGTGTGTGTGTGTGTGTGTGTGTTAGAAAAAGGACATTCCTTTGTGTAGGAGCTTCCCAGAGAGAAGCAGAGGGTATGGACCATGAGCTGGGTTCTGCCTCCTCTGGCCACCACTATTCTGGCCCACAGCAATCATAGACCAACCCCCCCCCCCCCCCCCCCCGCCTCCGCCCCCTTAACATCTATTCATTCCAGTCCTTCTGCAATGAGTAGCTGCACCCAGGGGTTAGTGATCCCTAGCAAGCCTTGAAGCTGCTGCATGTGGGGAGCACCAGCTCTGCCTGTCAGCTTTCAGGAATTGGTCTTTGCTCCTAGCATTTCTAGAATCTCTGCTTACATTATCCATTCTTGCCCATGGTCTACTATTAGCATGTCAATCATAGATGTTTTAAATTCTTAGTTCCACCATTCCAACACTCCCTACACCTTAGTCCGATTCTGATATATCTTCCCGAATGTTTTCTTGTCTTTTGACCTACATGTTAACTTTGTAGTTGAAAACCAGACATGACAATTAGGCTGTAAGTATGAGGCTTTATGTTAATCTGGGTAGGAGCCAGACTGCATTTGTCTGCTATCATTGAGTCTTTGTTTCCTTGCTTTTTCTCTTCATGGGAGAGGGGAAAAGAAGAAAAATTGGTTCTTTTAGATTTCCTTCTGGGGGACACAAAAGTGGAGGGACAAAAGGTGGACAAATGTAGCAGTGGTTCTTATTGGCCATTATGTTGAAAATGAACTATACAACTGTGGGATGGGGATGAGAGGGAACAACTGGGAGGGAGAAAGGGAAGAGGTGACATTGTCTGAAAAGAAATGTACTCTTGGGCTGGGAATGTGGCTTAGTGGGTAGAGAGCTTACCTAGCATGCATGAAGCACTGGGTTGGATTCCTTAGTACCACATAAACAGAAAAGACCCAAAGTAGCACTGTGACTCAAGTGGTAGAGTGCTAGTGTTGATCAAAAGCTCAGGGGACAGTGCCGAGCCCAAGTTCAAGCACCAGGAATGGCAAAGAAGAAAGAAAGAAAGAGAGAGAGAGGGGGGGGGGAGGGAAGGAAGGAGGGAGGGAGGGAGGGAGGGAAAGAAAGAAAGAAAGAAAGAAAGAAGAAAGAAAGAAAGAAAGAAAGAAAGAAAAGAAAGAAAGAAAGAAAGAAAGAAAGAAAAGAAGGAAGGAAGGAAGGAAGGAAGGAAGGAAGGAAGGACGGAAGGAAGGAAGGAAGGAAGGAAGGAAGGAAGGAAGGAAGGCAAGGAAGGAAGGAAGGAAGGAAGGAAGAAAGGAAGGAAGGAAGGAAGGTAATGTTGTACTCCTTTACCTGACTTACATAACTAACTCTTTAAGATTTCCTTCTTGGGCTGGGAAGGTGGCTCAGTGGTAGAGCGCTTGCCTTGCATGCATGAGGCCCTGGGTTCGATTCCTCAGCACCACATAAGCAAAAAGAAAAAAGCCGGAAGTGGTACTGTGGCTCAAGTGGTAGAGTGCTAGCCTTGAGCTGAAGAGCTGAGGGACAGCGCCCAGGCCCAGAGTTCAGGCCCCACGACGGGATTCCGCCCCCAACCCCAAAAAAAAAAAATTTCCATCTTAGCTGGGGGCTGGTGACTCACATCTGTAATCCTAGCTACTCAGGAGGGCTGAGATATAAGGATTGCAGTTTGAAGCCAGCCAGGGTAGGAAAGTCTGTGAGACTCTTATCTCCAATTAACCACAAAAAGGCAACAATGGAGCTGTGCTCAAGTGGTAGCACTAGCATTGAGCACAAAAGCTCAGGGGCAGCTCCCAGGTCCAGAGTTCCAGTGCCAGGACCAGAAAAAAAAAATCCTTCTTAGGGGTGGGATTGACTTCTAGATCTCAGACATAACCTACTTATGTGGTGTTAAGTAATATGGGAAGCATTTTGTAATTTTGTGATTGTCTTTTATAGTTAGGTTTTAATCCCTGAGCTGTGGCCTTTTGAAGTGTTTGCTTTTCCTCCTCTCATATGAAATAAAAAGCCTTAAAGGAGGTTGGAATTGTCCACCTTTCTTCTAGGTCAGCTAAGGCTCAGGTGAACTAGCTTCCCTTACGGGGCAGGCCATTCCCCTTACCCTCTTCAAGACGAGGCCTTTCTATTCCAGGCTAGCACTGGATCCTCCCTGCTGCACAAAGCTCAGCTGTACTAACCCTCTGGGGAAGTCTTCTCTGACTTGTCTCTGCTAAAGGAAAAGCTCCCCCTGTAGCCCCAGCACAGATGCAACTCAACTCCAAGAATTAAACCTGTTTCTTGGCTGAGTCTTTGAATGCCTGGAAAACAGGTTTTATAACATATCTTTGTATTTGTAGTATATGATATAAATCAAGATCTGCCAAGTTGAAGGGAAAAAGTGAAAAAAAAACACCTTCACTAATTAAAAACGAAGTACTACTTTTATTTGGCTCATTTCACCATTTATTAGAATAACCACATTTGGAGAAGCACAGAGCACTTAAGTTTTACATGACTACAAAGTTATCACAAATCCCAAACTTCTTAGTCACAGATATTTCACCTCTGTTTAAAGAAAAAGCTTTCAAAACATCTGAGTTAGCTTGATACCAGACCCTGAATATATAGGAACTACATGTTTAAATGCTTGGACTTTTTGCTCTATTATCTTCTTTAAATGGAATCCAGCATAAAAGGGACTGAAATGTGTAAGGTCATGATGCAAATGCTTCAGAGGGACAGTGGAATCAATCTGCACAACATGGAAAGGACGTAGTGTGCACACAAGTTCCTCAAGGATTCACTGGGCCATCTGGGCCTCCATGGCTTGTGCTGTCCCATTCTGGTGCTGTCTGACTAATTTTCTCCAGAAGGTTATTCACTTGGAAACAAAGTGATTGGATCTGTTTGTCCCATGTTGGCAGGGCTTCTCGGGCTATGGGGTGAAAAGAAAAGAATGGGTAAAACTGAGATTACTCCTTTGTAGGCAGAACAATTGTGAGAAATTAGTAATATTAAGTTTTAAAAGTTTATTTAAAAAATCATGGCTAGGGGCTGGGAAGGTGGCTCAATGGTAGAATGCTTTGCCTCACATGCATGAGGCCCTGGGTTTGATTCCTCAGCACCACATAAACAGAAAAAGCCAGAAGTGGCGCTGTGGCTCAAGTGGTAGAGCACTAGCCTTGAGCGAAGAGCTTGGGGGCAACGCCCAGGCCCAGAGGTTCAAGCCCCGACGACCGACAAAAAAATAAATAAATAAATCGTGGCTAAAACATAGAATCAAGCAGTAGTTGAGAACTCAAATCACTAGTAGAAGATATAAAATCACATACACAGATAAATGTTATTACTACTCTTTAAAAAAAAAATTAAAACCAACAATCTTAACCACAATGACTATCACAAAGAAACAGCCATGTTCAGTGATTCATAAAACACTTCCTCCTATTGGAAAAGAAAGTGTAGCTACATATTCAAGGCCGCCTCTGCAAAATAACAAAAACCAAACCAAACAAACAAACCAACAAAAAACCATAACCCACCACCCAAACTATCATCCTGAATTCACCAGGGTTTTCTTTATAAACAGCTGTGTGTAGCTCGAAATGAAAAATTGGAAGAAGTCTCATTTAATGAAATCCTGAAGAGAATCTCTTTTCTGCTTTGTTTTAGAAACAGGACAACAGTATTAAAGTCAATACGGGCTTGGGCTGGGAAGGTGGCTCAGTGGTAGAGCGCTTGCCTTGAGCTGAAGAGCTGATGAGGGACAGCACCCAGGCCCAGAGTTCAGGCCCCACAACCGGACTCAAAAAAATAAAAATAAAGTCGATATGGAACAATTGTTGTTTGAGAATAAGCCAACGTAAGCTACGTGGGAGTACAGATCAGCGAATTGTGGTTTGAGGCCAACCAGAACAAACAGAAGTTAGCTAGACACTCCTCAACAAATGGCTTGGATGCACTGACGCATGCCTGTCATTCCTAGCAACAAGGAGAAACACAAGTAGGAGGATCACAACTCAGGATAGTTCCAGCACAAAGTGAGACCTTACCTAGAAAATAATCAATGCAAAAAGGGCTCAATGGATAGAGTGTTTGCCTAGGCAAGTTTCAGGCCCTAAGTTCAATAGACTAAGAAAGGATGAAAACAGACAAAAATTACTAAATTCAGGTTCCTAATGCTGTATTTTCTTGGTAGGTAAGTTAGAGAAGAGGCTAGACAAGGAATTCTAAAGAACAACTGAAAGAATGGATCAGGAAATGGAAGCCACCTCTAGTATAACAAGTGGGGAGAAAAAATGATTTTAATCTGTATGTAAATTTTAAGGTTTATAAATCTGATCAAGAGTAGCACACTAATA